TAGATAGATAGATAGATAGATAGATAGATAGATAGATAGATAGATAGATAGATAAGATTTATATTTATACTGGGATCATATTGTAACTGATTGCAACCTTAAATTCTTTCTTGATCTAATTAAATGTAATTATTCACAGATCGCTTGTTAATTCCCAACATTTCTCTCATGTTATATTCAGTTCCTGAAAGCTTAAATTTGTTGCAGCTGAAAAAAAAAAGTCTTTATGTCTTTTAGCTGTGCTGCATTCTGATCTACTGAGACTATTCCTGCCAGAGGCTGTTATCTACTTTAGGTCAGCTCTGAGGAGAAACGGGAGACACGCATTAATTCTTCATTCATTAAGTGCCTGTTTATGGTGTTGTTCCCCTGCAACACTGACTAGTGTCAGTGCATGTGTTATCCATCAGAGCATATTTGGGCTCACACACTTCTCAGCTAGTTCTGTGTTAGATGCCTGCACTCTCAGTGCAGTTAGTTCTGAGTTCATTAGACCATTAGACAGTTCAGAAAGGAAATTGCTTATGAATCTGCAGCCAGGGGTGAAAGAAAGAAAACAAACAATGCTGTGCACAATTCATTGTTTCAAGAGAAATCATGCAGTAGCAAAAGATTTAGTTGGCGTTAGTGGATAAGACAATAGAAATATTCCCATAAAATGAAGTCAAATGAATGACAGAATATTAACTAAATCTGAGGTATAATATTTTACATTGAGAAATGTAATATTTGTTTATGTCTATCTATCTATCTATCTATCTATCTATCTATCTATCTATCTATCTATCTATCTATCTATCTATCTATCTATCTATCTATCTATCTATCTGTGTGTATAAAAATAAAAGCATAAAACCCTATACAATATGTTAGCTCTGTGCCTATACTGATAAAAACCCACAAACATATATTTTTTAAGAATCTTAAGATATTTTTTAGTTTAGTTTTTGTAGATTTAGTTTTTGGTTTAAGCTCTACTGCATGGTTAAAACTGACTAGATTTAAAACCAGTTACATTCACTTTCACTGGTTGATGGTAAAAACAATAACCACTTAAGGTGTGGTTTATTTTGACGTCTGTGTGTGTTTCCCTGGGCAGTGCCAAGTTTACGCCATGAAATTAAAAACTAAAGGAAATGGGATTTCCTTCATAATAAAAGCATAAAAGTCTTTAAAAATAATATTCTTTACAAAGGTGATCCGGAAAAAATAAAAGTAGCAGCTAATGGCCAGATTGATCAATATACTGTTTTTCTATCATTTTTGCACTCCGTCTGTAAAATATGAGACACGCAACGTGCAAGTATTTTTTAAGTTTTTGCTACTGCTTTATTGTTGAACACTGTTCAAGCAGCACAAAACTGTAAACGTGTCAGTCGTGCAGTGTTAAATACTAGAGTCAATACAAATGTACATAAATATATAATTCACTGAAGTTAAGAAGGCAAATGTGGGAAAATTAACATTTATTCTTTTTATATGATTGATTCCAAATCTTCAACCTGTATAATTAGTGTGTCTGTATTTATTAGGTTACAAAGAGTCAAATGCGAGACTACCATTCAGCCAGGTGTCTCTTACATTGTCCAGTACAAACGTGTTCTTTGCTTCAGATTTTATTCAATTGTTACTCGGTCACCCAAATGGCACATTGCTTCAGGGCTGAAAATAAAGTCACTTTCAGTATTTCAGTACTTTTTCTTTTTGTATTGCTCATTCATGGTGGACCTTGAGAACCATTCATATAGCAGTGACACTATTCAAAACCAAATGTTTGGACTCATTATATGCAATGGGAGAATAAAGCAATTAGAGACATACTGCAGTGTAACCAAGTGCACAACAATTCTAACCAAACAAACAGCAAACTTGACATTTCTTTTCATATCAAAAGACATCCAGCAGTTATTAACTACTACTGTGTGAATGTGTGTGTGAATGGGTGGATGACTGAATATGTAAAGCGCTTTGGGGTCCTTAGGGACTAGTAAAAGCGCTATATAAATACAGGCCATTTACCATTTTACCATTTACTACAAATATATAATAAGTCATTTTCCACAGTTTGTTTTTCAGTTTTTACTTCATAGTGGTTATCTCTTTTATTTTGAAGGCGCCAGCCGGAACTTCCGCACCTAACTCGCTGTCGCTTGCAGTCATTTCCCTAAACGCTGCTGGTCGTTAGCCTCTGAGCTGAAAGCCGCGGTTCATATCAGCGCAACAGGGCTGTCTGTGAACTCGGAGCTTGGACTTTAAGCGGTTCGTGACAGCCCTATTTAATACTTGACTTTACACTTTTACCCACGCATGACGCCACGAGGGGACTCGGTGGGGTCGGCCTGAAAACTTTCCCCTGCCATTGGTGTTTCTGAAGGAACAGGTAATACTATTTTTCACGCGTTTACATACGTTTTGAAGCAGAGGACGCTCACAGACTCCCCGCTGTCCCTCAGATTTATTGTTGCGGGGTCAAATATCAATGCAACAAGGCCCGCACCTGTAGTAGAAAGCGCATAAAATACAGATAACATAGATAACAGGTGGTCAGAATAAACTCCAGCAAGAAATCACTACATAGGCTTTTAAGGACTTTAGCTGACCAGTGTATTTTAAAAATAACCATTCATAGATCTTAACTGGATGTAATCGATCTTTGAAAAGCTTCTTTAAAAGTTTAAGGTCGTATGGATATGATTTAACTGCAAGGAGGCTATTAATACGCAAACTATCTTACTAGTTCCTTTATCGTTTAAGGTCTGTTAGCCTCCAGTGTATTCTTGGATCATTGGGGCTGTAGGGTCTCTCGTTTCTGTATTTTGCGTGCACTTTTGTGGAGAATCGGTGTTTTCCATTTCAACAAGTCTAATGTGAACACAAGGCCACTTCAAAAAGCACTTATCACTGTGTAAACAAGAGGCTGCTATCGGCCAGCTGTCTGCTCTGCTAGGATCAAGCTCACAGGAAGAATTTCCTTTCCTTTGTGCATATCATACAAGATATGTAGTTATTTCCAGGGTCGTCTATTTAAACAGTTAGCTCTGGTGCTAATAGGTCAGTTATACTTATCTGGTGCATGGCACAGCAGGTAAGAAGTGAAGCTTAAGATTGTGTGATCTTATTTTTACAGATGATTTGGTGTCATTTTTCTTCCCTTAAGCTTTTTTTAAAAATTCATTTATTTTAGCTTTGGTCTGGCAAATATAACAAGCTTTTATCCCTCTTTTAATTTTGACAGCTGAATTGCTTTACTTTGACTCCAGCCTGGGTGAGGAAAATGAGGAAATTTTACTTCAGCACACAATTTCAGATAATATGATAATAAGTGCAGTCATTAGTTGTGGCCCTGACTTGTCTCAAGATGTAGACTATTAAATATTAGCAATTAAATTAATATGAGGCCAGTGTGCACTGACTCGACCTAGAGAGAAGTGGTGTTTTATTATCGACTTTTTGAGTTACAGAAGTTGTTCAGGGGAGGTGATCAGAGCTCTCCTCTCACACTTTGTGAGACTTTTTTTTGAAGAAACAACACTTATTTGCAATGATGATCACTTCTACGGCAGGGATTAACATGCCAGATTTATATAAGTAGAGATCTGTGACCACAGGAACAACTCTAGTCTTGTTTGTCCTTCGATTCTAATTGTTGTTATTTTGTTTCTGTCATGATTGATTGTGCATCCTGTATCACCTGTAGCCATGATTTAAATGTCTCGGAGGTACTCCATGTTCCTTGTGTCTGAATAGAGCTATACAAACAAATGTGATTGTTTTTGCTGTTTAGCATGAGGGAAGCGTTAGTTAAAATTAAGGGTGCATCAGTTGTGAATTCCTGGGTGGAATACTGATGTTTAAAACAGCAATTTGATAGATAACTGAAGCAGAACAATACCTTTTTTTCCTGTCTATTTTTCCCTTGAATATTAACGTTTTGTGCCAGGAAACCAAATCAGCATAAACAGAGAAGTACTGACCATTAACACAGGTAGATGACGTCTTATTTGTGGAAATGCTTATTTCAGTCAGTAATGCTATTATCTGCTCATACAATTGTCTTAATGCCTAATAATTAGAGAACAGATTAGTATTTCCTATTTCCATTTCATTACGGACCCTAAAATGCCAATAGGAAATAACAATACAGCTAATACCGACTATTACAGTGCAGTTCCTTCAAATTAGTTGAAGGAAATAACTACAGCCACTCAGGAAATGTATCACTTATTACTTCTATTGGAACAGATCTTCAGGTATATTTCTACTTTTTTGTTGTTGATCTATCTGGAATTGTCAGGCAGGTAAAGTTAGTACTGCTTTTGTCTTGGCTTACACTAAATTCAGAAGTCTCCCTTTGTATCTATTAAATCCATCTTGAATAATTGCTGATTATGTTGTACAAATAAGCCTGGAAGATTCAAATGTATTGCATTCTGGATCAATTTAAAGTGTACAGGGAGACTAAGTAATTGAGTTAATTAATGTTTAACTGAGCAAGTGGTGCAAAGAAGCCTCAAATTATGCATTCTAATTGTTGCCGACTGAAGTGTTTAATTTTCTTCTGAAAGGTATTTGCATATCGTCTGAGACAGAACACTTCCCTGGTGCATTTCAGTGAAATATTTTGCACGTTCTCTGGCACTATCCTACACCAACATCCCCACGTATTTGCCGTGTGCAGTAAGGCAGGACTGTTTTTGCAAAGGCCATTTTTTCCTGATTTTTAGGGAGGCTGTAAGGTTTTAGGATAAGGGAACAACACGGCCTTGAGATTTTGTTTATTCTGACAAATAATTGGGAACAGATAGTGTTGTTGCTAGTTTAGATTGATTTGACTTTTTTAACGCACGTGTATTTCTATGAGGATTTATAACTATGTAATCTTGAGTCATGTGGGGAAAAAGTACACCTGTCTGTAACTGTAACGTTTTATGTGCAAGAATATAATAAAAATAATCTCGTCCTCAGCAAAAGACGGGTAAATCCGTCTCAGCTGTACAACAACACATGACATACTACACAGTGTCTTTTTTTTATGATACAGAAATTAATCCAGAATACAAGTAGTAAGTAGCAGCCAGATGCACTTGATTCAAATGCCCGGGATTACCTGATCAACAAGCAGGGCAGGCGTAAGCACCTCCTATAAAAGCAAAACTTTTGGCAGTTTGCTGGTCTGGATTTTTCAGGTGTGCATTAGAACAACGCCAAACAGGAAAGACAACAGCCATGAGCCTGAAGAAACAACTGTTGCTGCCCATCAATCTGGAAAGGGTTACTCTAGATGCCAGATAGCATGCTAAATGCCAAAATTCATGACTGAACACGCTGAAAAGATTGAACAGGTATGGCCTGCCAGTAAATGTTGACAGGAAAAAGCCTCTTACCTTTCTGAATAACAGCACAACTTAGGTTTGCTAAGTTGCATCTGAACAAACCACAATACTTGTAGAGAAAGTGGAGATGTTTGGCTATAATTCACTGCACCACGGTTGGAGAAAACGAAACACGGCATGTAAGCAGAAAATCCTCGTACCAGTCTCAAGTATGGTATGGGATGGGTGATGATTTGGGCTTGAAAGAAGGTATGCTTTATTTTCCACATGATGCATAGTCTCTGAGGTTTCTGTCTGTATAATCCACCACACGACATCATTTTTGGTGAGATATCCTTAGCTGTCCTAATGCACTGCAAATGAAAAATATTTATATTCTTTATATTAATCTTTTATTTATCAAGGCGAAAGAGAGACCTGACCAAGAGGGCCAGCATTCACACTTTAATTGTTTTTGTTGTAAAAATAGAGAAAAGAAGTAGAATAAGTTCCAAACTAGTCAAGATTAGTAGTGCAGCGGTAACCGCTCCCTCGGTCACTCACTATGGGTGCTGTGGAATTATTTGGTTAAGATGCCTTTAGATTAAAACAACATCCATTGCTTAATAAATACTTGCTTCAGTTGGACACAAGTGCTTTTCTCTGACATTTAGAGGACTAAAGCAAACAGCACCCCATCAAATTGGTTTTTAAACCCACAAAGACATGAAAGTGAGGTTTTAGAGATGGCCATAAATCTGCTTCATCATTCAACAAAGATCTTTAAAATTTGAAACCCTTTGTTTTCACGATGCAACGGGTTTTTGTCCTGGCGTCACTGTCACTTTGTAACAGAATTAGCTGGAGATGCAGAAATGGTAATAAGAATCCTTTAGTAAGATTTCCCAACTGCTTGACTTGAAATTTAAAGCCTTATAACCATGTGAGCCGATAGTAGGGGCAGCAAGATGTGCAGGGAGCTTTTCTCCCACAATAAGTTGCCAACTTCTAGAGAGTGTAACAGTGAGGAAGTCTGAAGGCAAGGTCAAAGCTTCAAAGGAAACAAAAACTCTTCCACATCTGCTTTTAGCCAGGATTGGTAATTAAAGAAGAAAAACCTTGCCGCAATCTCTTTTAATGTGACTCATCTGTTTTGGGAGGAACGTTCACCATCTACAGACACAAGGTCACAAGAATCACTGTGAGACTAGTTGAAGAAGACAACTAGTCCTCCTTCTCCTGCTCTGTTCTTCTTTAATGCTTTCACCAGCACACATTCCTCAAATTACAGGTAATCAGATGCTGACTCTTTATTGATTTATAGGTTTTTGTGATCCATTGATCTACTTTTAATCATATATCATTCCCCAAGTATTAAGGAGAAGCTGATGAGCTGGCAACCAGTGCATTTAAACCTCAGAAATTGGCTCATAGGCTTTGATTTTCAGTCATTCAGGAAAGGAAAGGATTATAAACCCATAGAAGAATCAATTATCTGTCATCAGCTAAGGAGTGGATCATTTATCAAACCAGATATGTTTATAAAAAACCATTCAGTTCGTTGTGTGTCGAGGCTAATTTGACGATATTTATTTAACCCTTTAAGACCTACCATAGAACAAAGTCCGCCAGAGCTTATATTATTTTTTTACATGTTGTAGTGCCATTTGTGGGAGCATTTCAAGTTGCTATACA